GGGATGGGATGATGGGATGGGATGGGACGGGATAATGGGATAATGGGATAATGGGATAATGGGATGATGGGATGGGATGGGATGGGATGGGATGATGGGATGGGATGGGATGGGATGATGGGATGATGGGATGATGGGATGGGATGGGATGGGATTGGGATGGGATGATGGGATGGGATGGGACGGGATAATGGGATAATGGGATAATGGGATAATGGGATGATGGGATGGGATGGGATGGGATGGGATGATGGGATGGGATGGGATGATGGGATGGGATGATGGGATGGGATGGGATGATTGGATGGGATGATGGGATGGGATGGGATGATGGGATGATGGGATGATGGGATGGGATGATGGGATGCGATGGGATTGGGATGGGATGGGATGGGATGGGATTGGGATGGGATGGGATGATGGGATGATGGGATGATGGGATGATGGGATGATGGGATGGGATGGGATGATGGGATGATGGGATGATGGGATAATGGGATAATGGGATAATGGGATAATGGGATAATGGGATGGGATGGGATGGGATGGGATGATGGGATGGGATGGGATGGGATGATGGGATGGGATGATGGGATAATGGGATAATGGGATAATGGGATGGGATGGGATGGGATGGGATGGGATGAGATGATGGATGGGATGGGATGATGGATGGGATGATGGGATGGGTACAGTGGTGTGTCCAAGCCAGGCATTCCTGCAGAGCACTTCTGGAATTGCTGCTCCAGTTGTTTGGGATGCTGGAAGCAAAGCAGAGCTGCCTTTCCAGGCACAGGAACCCTCCCTGGGCTCCAGGGGGTGTGATCCTTGTTAAATTGGATTAAATTAATTAGCCAAGGAAGTGACTTATGGGGACATGGCATGGCTGGGCTTCCCATCTGGCTCTGCCGTGGTTTCAGGGCTTCCCATGACATGGGAAGAAGTCACATTTGGCTTTACCACAGCTGCCTTCTGCTTTTGCAGCTGGTTTTGCACCTCTGCATCCCCACATATTCATGTGAAACCTTTCCTCTGAGGCCTTCAGGTCACCCCACATCAGAATGATCCCGTTCTAAAAGAGGGATCAGCCTTTTCCAGGGTTTTTTGTGGTATCCCAAACTTCACAGGCTGAAAATCAGAGCCTAGTACCCAACCCAAAATTAGTAATTTCTGGCCTGTCCCCTGTCCCTGTGAGGGGTTACGAGACCTTGGAAGCAGCAGGGCTGGGCAGAATTACCCAAAGTGAAACCAAATACACCCAAGAGATCCAGAAAAAAACTTTTATCTGAGCATAAATTCCAAGTTTTACTCGGGAATCCTGCAGTGGGATCCAGGGGCTGGGATTCCTGCATCAGCCTCCCCACCCTCACAATCAGTGATTCCCAATTCCCAGTATCCCACCCATCCCTGCCCTCCGGCACTGGGAGCCAATCCCTGGGTCCTGTCCCTCCATCCCTTGTCCCAGGTCCCTCTGCAGCTCTCCTGGAGCCCCTTCAGGCCCTGAAGAGTCCAAAGAGATCAGCTCTAAAAGAGTTTAAGAGTCCCTGGAATCTTCTCCATGTGAACACTCCCAGCTCTCCCAGCAAAGCCTTGAATTTTCCAGCTTTTTTATAATATATGAATAATAACAACAATTTTCACCCTGGCTTTTGGGTTCAGCATTGCAAGGGAGTGAAGGGCTCATATGACTTTTCCCCAGATTGCCATAAACTCTCCATTTCTCAAGCCTAACAAATTGTTTTTAGCTGTGGGTGTGACCTCCTCGCTTAGAAGGGCTGTGACATTTTCTGGTGTAACTCTGACAGAGTTAGAACTACATTTTCTGGTGTAACTCTGTTTTTTTTCTCTTACTCTGACACAAGAAAACCAATGTGAACATCCTGGTTTAGTGCAAGGTGTCCCTGACCCTGTCAGGTTGGGATAAGGTGGGCTTTAAGGTCTCTTCCAACCTAAATATTCCATGATTCCATGGAGCTGCAGCCTTCCTGCTGCTCATTTTTCCTTGCAGACTGAATCTCTGTATCCCTGAATCCCCAAATCCCTGCTCTTCCCTGATCCATCCTTTATCACACACAGCCAAAGGAGCCCCCCTCCAGCTGGGGGACATCCAACCAGAAAACCAACCAGAAAGACCGTGAAAAACCCATCCAGAGCTCTGAGACGATCCACAAGTGACTGAAAACAGAAAGAAGGGAAAGTTTTACGAGCCTGACTGGGATGTGGAGCTAAAAATACAGCGGCAGTGACTCGGGGAGGGAGCGGGTGTCCAAGGCCACCGCTTGTTTGTGCTCACAAGAGCAAGCCCTGTCCCTTAAGAGCATCCAGATGAGGTGTGAGGGAATTTATATCCTCACTCCCTGCTCTCCATGTGGCTGGTGGAGGATGGGGTCGCTTTTCCTCGGTGCCCAGGGGCTTTTCCAGAGGTTTGGAAGTGTCACCTGGTGTCCTTGTTTAACAGGGATGTGTTGGGGACGCTCCTGGAAATCGTCAGGGTGGTTTTCCATGCCCGGCTGCTTTTTTATGGCTTTCCCTAAAATGTGTAAATATCCATCAAATCCACAGGGAAATGCTGCCCATCTGCCAGCGCTGTTCC